TTGTGTGGTTCTACGAATTCGTGGTAAGCAAGAACAACTAATTTGAATCATTTGCTTTCCAAGGTCTTTCTTTTTTTGAGCATTTTAGGTTTCCTGTTTTGCTCTAGTCTGATATCGATTTCTCGTGAAAAAGCTTCTGTGTTTTGGAAGTATGAAGCAATTTCTTTAGTAGTTCTTCCATATTTCGAGCCCTTGAAAAGGAAATATAATTTTGAAGGTTTGTGGGATTATTTCGTTACATTCGGTTGAAAATACTTCACCTATTCTCATATTGCCGCTGCGTTAAAAGGGCGCCAAGTTTGGAATAAGTTTTATCCATTGTGGAACAGTTTCTTAAGTGCTCGGGGGAGTCAGTACGACGTTAGGTTTGTTGTGCGACTTTTTGGAACCAATTATTGTTTAGATGGTGTGAAAACCGAATATCTATTTGATTCTCAGCTTTAGAAATGTATTTTCAGCTTGTTTATCTAGATCTAGACAAAATGTTTCAAAACAATATCTCTAACCAAGTAATTCGTATAAGGACGCGTACCATTTTTTGGGTTTTGACAGCGACAGTTTTCCATTGCAGATTTCAGTTTTCTACAGTACTTAATATCTATTTTGTATGGATTAGGAGATGGAGATAGTTGACAATTGTTGGAGATATGTTTGCAGAACTACTTCACATTTATTTGTATGAGGGCTGTCATTTTTCTCTAAACAACATTGCTGCGGCAACATTTTACTCTCATTTTGAAATATTGGTTTTTGTTTGACGCGGTGCAGAAGTGTTTTTGAGAAAAGTTTTGTTTAAGGACGATTGTGTCTTTATATTTATATATCGGCCTGTTTAAAGTATAACGGGTCATTCCAAAAAATTTTTACGGAGTTGAAGAACGTTTTTTTTTAATTTTTGAAGAATGAGTCGGTCTTTTGGAGTTGGAAAAAAAGCCAGAACCTTAGGATATATAAAGAATGGATTTTTATTGCTTGCGTTCCAGAAAATTTTTTATGCCTCAGCGATATTTATAAAAAGTAATGCAGCCTGTTATGAAGTTCCGTTTCAGGACTTATTTGTCAGAAATTTTTTGGGTTTTTGAAAGGTTTCATCTTCCGGCTATACCACTGAGTAGTGAACTTTGAGGTGTTATAGCAGAATTGGAGTTCTATTGAAAAAGGAAACATTCGTAGAAATTATTACAGCAAAGAACATTTAGAGACAACACAGAAAAGAGCACTAGAATTCTGATACAGCTAAAGCGAAGTACGGGTGTTATAAGCGCCGCCACATTAGGCTATCCTACTTATTTATAGGTTCTATCGTTTACACCGCTATGATTTTGTCTTTAAAATCAGGGTTTGGATTGGACTTTCTAGTACGCTTAATTTGTACAACAGATTTTTTCCGTTGTATTCCTCGCCACTGCCTTCCGGCTCAAAGAACCGTAGAGAATCTGGCAATTAATGATACTTGCACGTAGGTTTTCCTACTGTTGATACATTAAAACTCATTTGAGAAACTAATGGTGATCTATCCAAGCGGGAATGGAGTTTGGTAAAGGGAAAAAAAGTGGTGGTTTCGGTCAAAGGAAGGCCTTCTAGAGCCCTCATTGCAACATTTCGCTCTTTTTTCTGCTGAGGAACAATTGGACCTAATTTGTTCACTCTTGCTGGTCTTATGCTCAGCAGTCTTTTTTTCTTTTTGTAGTCTATAACAGAGAAGGCAAAATACTTTTCTGTGAAGAGTTTTATAGCCTATGGGACGACGGGGCAGAGTTGGAAGTGGGGGGATTGTTTGCTACAGGGGATGTATACAGCTTTTGTTTTTGCCCTTCTCAAATAAGCTTCATGAGAATAGACATTTAATCTGAATATCTCTTCCTGTGAATGTGAAATCTGTATGAAAAGTCTGGCCTTACGTAAAGGATCTGCGGAGATCTTGTCTTCAATGAACTTTTCTAATAAGGGAAAAAAAGGAGAACAACAGAGCAGTTTTGGAGTCTCAAGGCGGCTAAATGCTTCGTTAAGACTGGGTGCTACATATTTAGCGGTGTAATTAAAAGTTACTTGTGAGTGCTTCCAAGCTATAAAGCGTAGGACAAGCGGGGTTCTTCATAAAAAGTAGAAGACACAGTATCTTTTCTAAAACATAATTTGAAAGAAATTAAGAAAGTATGGTTGCGGGAAGTTGTTGGATGAAAAAGGAGAAGGACTGTTGAGTAGCTGTCACAAATTTTTCTGCTGCACTTAGAATTTTCGTTGAGTTGTATGGAGGTTGCATAGTGGAACTGCAGGGTTTTTTTTATGGGAGAGCAGATATTTTTGAACGTCCTAATTTGAAGAAGCGATTCAAATTTTTAAAGCTTCATTGGTGAAAGGTAGAATTTCAGTAATTTTTCTCGATTTTTTACTGTTTTTTGGTGAGAGAACTCAATTGTGATCATGCAGAATACATTTTTCCAACATTTGTTGATATCAGAAAAAGCATTCGAATGTTGGGAGTGTTCTTTTTTCTTCTGTTGTTGGTATAGTTAAAATTTCATTCGCCGTAAATTTTATGGAAGTTATTTTTGACGTATTGCCTACTTTGTTTAGACTAGTCAGCTTTTTTTTGCGGCATTCTAATTGGAGAAAGAGGGGTTTTTTTCATCAGATAACAGTAGCTGAATGTGATTTGCTATGATATTGTGTCGATGTCTTTGCCTTATGGTTGAATTTGAACGTGATCATCATTCATTTATTGTAAGCTTTAACTGTTTGAAGCTTTCTCTTCTTTTCCTTGGTAAGAAGTATTTCGAGTGCAGACAGCTGCGGGTAGATTTGTTTACTGTATGCTTGAAAATTTTTCTTCACTTTTTTATTGGTCAGGTTCAGTTTTCGGCAATAACTTTCATCGAACCTTAGTTTTTGTGTTGTTTACCACGTTTTTCGCTTCTCTCTGCTTCTCCTTTTAAATTTTTATCTAATTAATTTTTAGTGCAGCTTTAGAAAAAAGTTTCTTAAGTTTATTTTTTTTTTCAATTTCCTTAATATGCTTGTGCATTGGTTGTAACGTTTTACTCGCCGATGTTTAGACAAGATTCTTTTTTGTACGCGCTAAACTGACAAAAATTTGCAGCGGCGTCTGAAAAAGCATAACCTATTTATTCGTTGCTGTTGCGTAAGGGAATGCTGATTTCGTTATGGGGTACATTCCGCGTGTTATTTTTTGCTAGTCTTCTTAACGTCGGCTATCCTCAATCTATCACCAATACAACTGAAGAAAAGGTGTGCTTTCGAGTCTTATCTAGCAATGATTTTTTGTTAAACGAATTATGATGGGTAAAATTTGAAACTTTTTCCGTATACGTCATGTTCACTGCACAGAATTTTTTGCGGGTCGCTTGCAGTGTTAAATTTTTAATTCTTCCCGTACGGCATCGCGTACCGTTCATCTTCTCTTTAATATTTTAAGAGTTATAGTCACTTCAGTTAGTTCATATTCTGATGTCAGTAAAAATTTTTAGGCTTTAACAGTGAATGAATGCCAAAAGCTTCATTTATCTGGCATTCGTGTGGAACCAGTTGATGGGAATGATGGTTTTGTTGGATATACGTAAGTCAAAAATTTATCAAATACTTACAACAAGGAATTGTTGCTAAAGCGCGTTTTCCCTTTTCAAGCGTTATCTTTTTTTTTAATGCTTCAGTAATGGTATGATAAATTTAGCAACCTTTCAGGGCCATTTTATTTAATATTTAGGGAACACAGCGTTTCGATAGTTCGACCAGACACTATAGTTTCTGTAAATATTTTTGGTTTAAATTTGGATGTAATACAGAAGGTAAGTTTTACTACCGACCCGAACAATTGTTCTAGCAGTGGACTAATAGAGGATTATGAAGGATTCAGTGTTAGAACTGGCGAAAGGATTACAATACGTACACGTTTTCCCAAGTAAGCTTCTTTTTTGGCCAAATGTTGTTTATACGAAAGCATGGTAAGCAGAGAACTAAGTAATCTAATTTTACACTATTTGGCATTCATTTTTGAGACCGAAAATTTGTTGATGTAAATAAAAGTTTTTTTGCAGTTCCAAGAAGCACTATTATATATGCGCTACAAAGAAGCTACCGTTAGGGAAAGCTGGAGAGGTCCCTGTTGTTGTAAGCATTTGTGCTGTGTCGTTTATGCGTAATATTCAGTTTCCCAAAATTGATTTAGTAGAAGTTTTTAGTTGGAATTATGCAAGTGTTAAGCAGTTCTATTTTTCTCTTTCTTTTTCTGCAGGATTTTTATATTTAATCTTGTTTCACGAAGTCTGGCTTTTAGTGGAATGTGCATTTCGCTTCTATCACAACGCAAGTACCACCAAGGCAATATTATTTACCATTTGGTATACAAGTGGCAGTTATAAGCTGTCTTTTAGTGCTCTCAGGTCTATTTTCTGGGCTTAATCTGGGGTTGATGGCCTTAACACCACAAGAATTAATGCTTATTCAGAAATCAGGTATGCATTTTTTTAATAAGAGATATTATACCGTACTTACTGTGTGGTACTTCTTTGTTTTCAGGCAAACCAGCTGAAAGAGAATATGCAGAAATCATATTACCGGTGAGACAGTCTGGAAATTTTCTTTTGTGTTCGTTATTGATTGGCAATGTTTGTGTTAATTCTGGGATTTCTATATTGTTTGATGACTTGACTTCTGGTTACGTTGCTTTGATTGTTTCATCAGCCGGCATTGTTGTATTTGGTGAAATTTTTCCTCAGAGTCTTTGCGTCAAGTAGGTCTTTCAATTCTGCAGTTGTTTTTTTGTTTTGGCTAGTTTTTGCCGTGGTAGCTTTTTATAACGTTTGTTATCGATGTAAACTGTAATTCTCTCATTACCTTCTCAGTCATATCTTTTTCAGAAAAGGTTTAGCTGTGGGAGCACGGACTATTTGGATCACTCGTTTTTTTATGGTTTTAACTTTTCCATTAGCATACCCGATTAGTAAAGTTTTGGATTTCATTCTTGGCGATGAGGTAAAATACTGAAATATTTTTTGTTTTTTTTTTTTTTGAAATGGCGATTTGAATACGAGAAATTTTAGGTTGTACCGTACAACAGAAAGCGGTTGATGGAATTGATAAAAATGTCTACTAGAAGCGAAGAAGGGCTGGCGGAAGAACTGAAGATAGCTGTTGGGGCAATGGAGATAACTGACAAAACAGTGAAAGACGTTATGACGAAAATTGATGTTTGTGTATTTTTAATTGTTTTCTTAATAAAATGTGATCGGAATTTTTTTAAATTTGCCAGATC